AATCATCATCACCATCATCATCATCATCGTAGCTCACAGTAAATATTATTGTATCTGTCGGAAACCTCCAAAGCAAGAATTGACACTGGAACCATATTATCTGCGGTGATGATGACGATGATGATGATAATGATGATGATTATGATGATGATGATGGTTATGATGATGATGATCTTACTTCTCCTGTGGAGCAAGTAGTTGTACAGAAGTTTGACCCCGTTCAAGTAATTCTTCTCGGCGCTGTTTGAGTCCGTGTACACTGAAAATTCATTTATTCTCCTCTTTTATATAATTCATTCACTCAATTTTTCATTCATTCATTCATTCGTTCATTCATCCATTCATTCATTTATCCATTCATTCATTCATTCATCCATTCATTCATTCGTTCATTCATCCATTCATTCATTCGTTCATTCATTCGTTCATTCATTCATTCATTCATTCATTCATTCATTCATTCATTCATTCATTCATTCATCCATTCATCCATTCATTCATTCATTCATCCACCCATCCATTCATCTACTCATTCATCCATTCATTCATTCATTCACTCTATCATTATTTTCATCGTATTCACCCTTTTCCGCTGAAAAAATAGAATGAAAGAAAACATTTAATAAACGTTCTTATTGCCCGGCTAATTAACATATCATAATTAGATGAACGAATAATGAAATTTGCATTTTGATTGGCTAGATAATTAACATATTGTAATTTGTTCCGTTACAATTGGTTACTGTTTTATTCATTATTTAAACCATGAATAATTTTAATTTTCGTTGAGGATGAAATTAACATGTCGATAATAACCAAACAAATCCAAATAGCTTATAATAATTGACTGTCTCTAAAATTAGCATTATTTGCATATTAATTAGCTCCCTAATTAACATAATTATATTAACATATTATAATTAAACGGCCGATGATGAACCTTGGTGAGATCCGATTTTGGCTAAGCAGCCTCTCAACTTTTCGAACTCCACTAAATTGTGATTTTTAAATATAATTATAATTAATAATATTAAATATTAATTATGACCAATGATAATATAATATAATTAAATTATAATTATTAAATATTTATTATGATCAATGATAATATAATATAATTAAATTATAATTATTAATATTAATTATGATTAATGATAACATAATATAATATAATTAATTAATTAATTAATTGTACTGACGATCCAGAAAGATTTTCAATTTGGTCAACTTTTCCTCGAAGTTGATTTCGTCATTTTTAAACTTCTGATCCAGTGTGAATCTAATTTCTAAAATTTTTTCTCACCAATTTAAAGTGTCATTATCATGATTAAGATCGTTATCATCATCATCATTTTAATCAGTACTATCATCATCGTCGTCTTCATTATCTTAACCACCATCATCTTCATCACGATCATCAACGAGGTTGTCAGCACATGTTTTGAAAAAAAAAAAACTCGAGTTGGAACTTTTAAGGTTTACTTGAAAGATTTGCTGTGTGTGTGAATGTGTGTGAGTGTCTGTGTGTGTTTGTGTGTGTGTTTATGTGTGGGTGTGTGTGGTGTGTTTGTTTGTGTGTGTGTGTTTATATTTTCGTATTTCTTACTGTTGGCGTCATTTTCAGGTCTGCGCATGAGATACACGAACTCTGCGGAGAAAAAAAAAATAGAAATTTGTATTAATCTGCGATCTGCTTTTACATTCATTAATTCATTTATTAATTCATTTCTCATTCATTCGTTAATTCATTCATTTTTACATTCATTCATTAATTCATTCAATCCATCCAACGTTTATCGTAAGCTTCAACGTCGACGATTTCTCCAATGATTTTTGGCATCCCGCATTTTATTCCTACAATAATAATAATAATTCATAATTCACTCTTTTTGTAATTCACTATCTAGTAATTCATAATTCACTCTTTTATAATTCACTATCTAGTAATTCATAATTCACTCTTTTTATAATTCACTATCTAGTAATTCATAATTCACTCTTTTATAATTCACTATCTAGTAATTCATAATTCACTCTTTTTATAATTCACTATCTAGTAATTCATAATTCACTCTTTTATAATTCACTATCTAGTAATTCATAATTCACTCTTTTTATAATTCACTATCTAGTAATTCATAATTCACTATTTTATAATTCACTATTTAATAATTCATGGTTCACTCGTTTTATAATTCACTATCTGGTAATTCAAAATTCACTACTTTATAATTCGTAATTGCAAGGTCGACACCGATAATTCATTCATTTTTTTTATACCTCCATTCATCCACACTACCAACATTGCATTCATCCATTTGTTCATCCATCTATTCATTCATTCATTCATCCATTCATTCATTCATTCATTCATCCATTCATTCAGCTGACCGCTGCGGTACTTGAAGTAGTACTTCCAGGCATTCTGGCCTTTGTCTGCGTTGGCTGGGGGATGGTTTGGATTTATTTTTTGGTTTGAATTTTTTATTTAGTTACACATTCATTCACTCATTTTAGTGTTTTAATTAATTATTTATTCCTTCATTAATTTATTCATTCATTCGTTCATTCATTCATTCGTTCGTTCATTTACTCATTCGTTCATTCATTCGTTCAACTTTTTTTACTTACCTAACATTGGTGGACTTTTTATTCCTTTGAAGGGAGAAAAATATGAATTACTCATTCATTCATCAATTAATTAATTAATTAATTAATTCATTCATTCATTCATTCATTCATTCATTCAGAATAACCTTTCAGAATATCCAGCTGCTCTTGAAGTATGGCGGTGTAATCAAGGTCCTTCTCCTCTATCTCTTCATAAGCGTTACTAACTATCTCATTAATATTTCAATCAATTAATTAATTAATTATAATTAATTTTATTATGATTGAAATACGTATAATACTGAAAAAAATTGTATACATAACTGCTGCTACTATTACTACCACTACTAAGACTACCACTACTACCACTACTACTACTACTACTACTACTATTACTACTACTACTGCTACTAATACTATTACTACTACTACTACTACTGCCACTGCTACTACTACTACTACTACTACTTAACAAGCAAACGAACGAACAAACGAACGAACGAACGAACGAACGAAAAAATGAATGAACGAACGAACGAATGAATGAATAAAATTAAATTAAATAAAAAGCCAAATTTACATGAAACGTTTTGCGCAATGACAGCCGGCTTCATGAGATACCTCGGATATAAGATCAATCTGGCTTTTTGAATAAATTATGTTAATTATTATTTTTATTGTTATTATTATTATAGTGATCAGTAATCTTATTATTTATCAACTGTAGCAGTAATAGTAGTAGTAGTAGTAGTAGAAGTAGTAGTAGTAGTAGTAGTAGCAGCAGTAGTAGTAGTAGTAGTAGTAGTAGCAGTAGTAGTAGCAGCAGCAGTAGTAGTAGTAGTGGTAGTAGTAGCAGTAGTAATTATCATTGTAATAAAAGTCGTAGTGGTGGTAGTAGCAGTAGTGGTAGTAGTAGCAGTAGTGGTAGTAGTAGCAGTAGTAGTAGTAGTAGCAGCAGCAGTAGTAGTAGTTGTTGTTGTTGTCTACTTACAATCGCACCAGTCAAAAATTGGCTTGGAAGCTTGCATGAACGAGTTGTACGGCTGACTTGCTGTTTTGGTTCAAATCAATATCCCATTCAAATTAATTAATTAAGTAATTAATTGAGTTTTCTCTTTCATTTGTTCATTCATTCCTCTATTCATTTGTTTGTTCGTTAGTTTTTTCAATCATTCATTCGTTTATTCATTCATTCATTGTTATAATCAATTTCATTTGTAAAATGTAAAATTCAATTCAATTCAATCATTCAATCAATCAATTAATTCAATCCTTCGCTTTATTGTTCTATTCTATTTAACTAACTCTAAATTTTTTCATATTCTGTTCATCTAATTATACATCCATCCACACGTCCATTGGTTCATTCATTGGTTCATTCATTGATTGATTGATTCATTCATTCATTGGTTCATTCATTCATTCATTCATTCATTCATCCATTCATTCATTCATTCATTAACTCTTTCATTTAAACCTGCATCAAATTCGGTGACCATATCTTTCACGATTTTTTTGAACCTTTCATTCACTCTCTCGTCCTCTTCCGCAGTTTCTATCGTGATGTTTTATAATTCATTCATTCATTCATTCATTCATTCGTTCGTTCGTTCATTCATTCACTCGTTCGTTCATTCATTCGTTCGTTCATTCATTTATTCGGTCGGTCGTTCGTTTGTTTGTTCGTTCATTCATTCGTTCGTTCGTTCATTTATTCGGTCGGTCGTTCGTTTGTTTGTTCGTTCATTCATTCATTCACACATCCATTCATTCATTCGTTGGTTCGTTTGCTCGTTCGTTCATTCGTTCACTCGTTCGTTCATTCATTCATTTATTCATTCATCCACTTTACCTCTTATCATTTTGTAACGCTCAAACTCCTCTTGTATTTTTTTAGGTGCCTGAAGTCCAGTAGCTGTTTGAAAAATTAAAAATACTAAAGAACCATAATTATTATTATAGTTATTATTATAATTATAATAATTATTATAATAATAATTATTATTATTTAAATTACCTTTCAAATATTCTTCGAAGCAATCTAGAATCTGGCTCTGGGGGTAGAGCCTATAGTTCAGGGCCTCTGAATTATCATAATTAATTGTAATATTATAATTAATGAATAATTAGCATAATTAGCATAAATAACAATTATAGTTGATTCCAAATAAAAGTTCGAGACCTCCAGGTCTCTGATTTGTCATAGCTTTTCGATATAATTAATGAATAATTAACATAATTAATAATTATAATTGCTTCTAATTAAAGTCCTCAGAATGTCCTGTTATATTTTTTTCATCGGGTTTTGTATCATGCATCTGTATTGATAAAGGTATCTCCTCTTATCATATCTTAAGGTATCTTTTCACTGCACCATGCATTATTAGCAGCAAAAAAAAAGCTTTTGAAAAGAGTCCCCAAAATTTCAAAATTTGTGATCAGACTGGTCGAGGGTTTTGCCAGAAAAAGAGAGAGAAGGGGTATGTACCGCCCAATGTCAAAGACGATGGTTGGGGGTAGAGATGGGTAGGTTGACTTTTCATGCAGCCATGCGTATGGCGCTATGTAAATGTTTCCTTTATTATTATTATCATTCCTTTTGGTATAATTACTTTTATTATTATTACTATTATTTATTATTATTATTATTGTTGTTGTTGATATTGTTTAAGTACTTGGCGGGTAGAACTGGCAGTGTTCTAGAGCGCTGTCGGGAACTATCCTACCTTGTAAGGTATAATAATAATAATAGTAACTATAATTATTATAATTATTATAACTATAATAATTATTATTACAACTATTATTATTATTATTATAACTATAACTATTATTATTATAACTACAATTATTATTGTTATTAAAACTATAATTATTATTATTACTATAATTATTATTATTACAACTATTATTATAACTATAATTATAATAATGATTATTACAACTATTATTATTATCACAACTATTATTATTATTATTATAACTATAACTATTATTATTATAACTATAATTATTATTATTATTAAAACTATAATTATTATTATTACTATAATTATTATTATTACAACTGTTATTATAACTATAATTATAATTATAATAATTATTATTACAACTATTATTATTATCACAACTATTATTATTATTATAACTATAACTATTATTATTATAACTATAATTATTATTATTATTAAAACTATAATTATTATTATTACTATAATTATTATTATTACAACTATTATTATAACTATAATTATTATTATAACTATAATAATTATTATTACAACTATTATTATTATCACAACTATTATTATTATTATAACTATAATTATTATTATTACAACTATTATTATAACTATATTATAGCTAAAATTATTATTATTACAACTACTATTATAACTATATTAACTATTATTACTGTTGTTACCCGGATTGAAAGTGTCAACAAAGAAGTCGCTATAAGCAGTCACATAGACAGAGGAACAGAGCCTCGTATATTTGTCCTTATCTGAGAAAGAGGAAAATCCAAATAATAATATTATTATTATAATTATTATATTATTATTATTATTATATTATTAATAAACAGATATTGAACATGAGAGCTATGTTCAGACGACTTACTGTCTAATTGCTGTAATCTAGTTTAAAAAGTTCTCTAATGTATTTAAGTTTGGTATGCAGTTGTGAGGGGAATATCGAGTTTTATGAATATATATTCTATTTTAAGTGTTAAATGGAATTGTAATTTAAAGGTAATTGTATTTGTTTTAGTGTAGTAGTTCGTTTTAATAGTTTTAAATATGGCGAAGTGTGCTTATTGTTATAAGGAGTTCCGATGTCTTAACAGACACACCTAGCGTTTCATGGGACGATCGACTCAAACTTAAACAGTGAAATTTTAAATTCAAGTTTGGATAACATTTCACTTGATAATGTCATAAATTATGATGTTTTAACGGATAATATTTCATCAATCAATACTTCAAATGATATATCTTCCAATAACAATTCGGACGGTAACGTCTTACCTGATCTTAATCCTGGCAATATAACTTTATCCTATGATATTTTGATGAACAATGTCACAGCGGATAAATTTGAAAAAAAGCTGCCTTGCTGCTGTGTGAAACATTTCAAGGGTCTGTCTGAAAGGTTTGATAACGCATCGGAGATCTTGCAAAATGTTCAAGTCCTGCAAACCAATCGGCTCGGTTGATGAAATTGGCAGAACAGTCAACGAACCTCAAACCTTCCATCACTGGCATACATCGACAGCAACTTTTCACCCTCTTCTTCCAGGCATCAAGTTACCCAAGACTCGCGAATAATGGGCAGAGACAAGCGCATATCTTCACCACAAATTGAGTTACCTCAACAAAATCACTAGAATCGACAGCTCCACTCTTCAATTTCAAATCACCATCTACCGACATTTTGTCGAAACATACGGCACGGTGAAACCAAACAAATCAACAAACGATAACACCAACATCAAACAACTCAAGAAAATATTGAAGCACTCATGAATTCTTGATCACAGCGACAATAATCACACCAGCGAAAGAAGTGCTCTGAGTAAATTAATCAGATCCAAACTAGACAGGGCAAAACTGGCAAAATCGAGTGGTCCATCAGAGATGTCTACTCAATTGTGAGACTGCTTTTGGTAAACATGCAGAAAAACCTTTTCGCCAGCAACATCAGTCTCCCAAGTGTCAGTAACTTTTTTGAAAATGTAACGAAAGGTGTTAGCGTTTGCTATATCCGATTGCACTCCATCTCTGCCATCGTGCGATGAAATATCATCAGCTACTCGTAAACTTAAATCAAACGCTTCACCATGCCCGCTAGATCAAAGGTCAATCATAATATTTATTTACGTTGCCTTTGTTAATTAAGATTAATTAATATTATTGCCAATATTATTAATGTTATTATTATTATTATTAATGTTTTTTTTATTATAGTTACTCAATTTATAAATCACCGTATGGTAGAGATTCTGTGAAGGAAGATAAATAAAATATGGATTGATGGAAGGATGGATGGATGAATTAATGAATGGATTAATTAATGAAAGATTGAAAAGATAGATGAATGACTGAATGATTTTATGGATGGAGAGATGGATGAAAGAAAGACGGATAGATTGATGCGAAATAAGATAGATTTATGAATAGATATTGATACATATGTTGATAAATGGACGAATGAATGGATAGATGGATGAATGGATAGATGAATGAATGAATGGATAGATGAATGAATGAATGGATAGATAGACGCATAACGAATGTATGCAAGAAGAAATGAATTAATTAATTAATTATAAAAACCCAGTTTTTGTAGGAGAACCATGGGCATTCTGTAAACTTCAGAAATCACTGAACAAATGAAAGAAATTTTAATTCATTCACACATTCGATCACATTCATTCAGTCAGTCATTCATTTACTTAATTTATTTATTCATTCAACCATTTCATTCATTCATTCATTCATTCATTCATTCATTCAACCATTCATTCATTCACTCCTGGCTAACATCTTGACCATTGCTTGATTTCCACTTTTCAAAATATAATAATAAATAATTAATATTATTAATAAATAATAATAATATTATTATTATTATTATTATAACTTTATTATTAATAATTATAATTAAATTGAATAACTCACTGTACGGTATATTTGGATTAACCGATTCACTGGCTATGTAATAAAAATTGAAATATATATAATTTTAAATATTATTCGTATATATATATGTAATTATTAATTAATTATAATTATTAATTAATTATAATTATTAATTAATTATAATTAGTAATTAATTATAATTGTTAATTAATTATAATTTGTGGTTAATTGTAATTAGCAATATCTTACAACTATGCCTTGAAGGTGATGACGTCAAAGCATTGCTAGAAGCTAAAAAAAAAAGAAGACTCAATTATTTCTTAAAAGCCGAAATCAAATAATGAGAATTAATTGTAGTAAAATGTTTTAAAAATATTAATAAATAAAATAGAATAAAATAATCCAATCGAATCAAATGTACGATCCAGCCATTGCCTTTGAAATAGGCATGGCAATGGACGAAGGCCTTTCATTCCCAAATCCGAGAATAAGAAGCATCCATTTGGAGCCTGTGACCTCAACTCTTCTATCATCAATGCCAGTACTTTATCATGTCTGTCTGTGTATCTTCAGTACCTCTTCACCGCAGTTTGACACACTATATGATTATTTGTTTGGCTAACACCACACGGTAGGCGTAAGGGAGTTTTGGCTTTGCTTCATTTAAACAAATTTGAATTAGTTGGCAGCTGTTGAATTCTGTACTTCCTTGTACTTAATTGTCAACAATAATTATGTATTAATAATTACCTTAAGCCTATGCTTTACACCATTACAAGCAAATGAATGTTACCCATCAAAATTTACTATTATAGAGCAACACGGACATGTTGTCAGTGGTTTTCAACCAGCATGTTATTCGTGCTGGAGTAATAAGTTCACCAGTTGACTTGAACACTCTGCCATAAGGTTAAGGCCCAATGATGTGGATGGGTGAGACGTGATTTTATTCGGGTCCCATTCAAGAGTCTGAGGGACCGCTTCAATGAACCTCTTTCTATCAGAGAACTGTCCGACTTGACGAAGTTTGAAGAGGTTTCGCGCCATTAGCGTTGGATTTCTACATTGTTGCTCTTTTTTAAATAGCTCCGAATTTTCATTTTTGTTTTTTTTTTCTGCAGCCTCTCTTAGTGACACAATATTATCACCCCCGAGTTTCATTTGTAGTGAAAGAATCTGCAGTGCAAATCCACTGTCTGGCATGGCGAGCCACTCGCTTACTCTACTTACGATTAGGTTTTCTAAGTCGGACGATGTTCATGCTGGCGAGAAATTGTAGTAACGTAGTAACGAAGCTCGAATTGAATCTGTGTTGGAATAAAATAGCGTAGCATTTTAAGTTTTTGCTGCAGTTTGATAACCAGACTAGAGTTTGATCTCCAGTAATTTGGTCAATTTTGAGATAGGTTCCTTTCTGGCCTCTGTATCTTTTCGTTCAAAAATCATACAATCCACCCGAAGTAGACAAAACTGTTATAATAATAATAATAATAATAATTATAATAAATTTTTTTACTTGGTGAAGAAACCTGTGGGCTGCCATCTAGCGTAAGAAATAAAAAAAATGTTACAAATGTGACAGTATTAATTATGGATACTATTACTACGATTTTTACGATTTTAGCAATTTGTTGGCCAGTTAATTATTGTAATAATAATTATCTATCATAATTTATGTTAATAATAATAAAAATAATAAAAATAATAACAAAAATAATAAAAATAATAATAACCAGGTCTCAGCGGTGCCCCTTTGATGGATTTTTGTGCTGCAAAAAATTATACAAAAATATTATGACAATAATTATAACATAATATAATTATAATAAAAAATATGACAATAATAAAGGAATATAATTATAATGGTGATAATAATCAAAATAATAATAATGATTATAATACAAAACTTTTTTTCAATTGTAGTGGGAGTAGTAGTAGTTTTTGTAGTAAAAGTAGTGGTAGTAGCAGTAGAATAAGCAGCTGCAAAAACAGCAGCTGTAAAAGTAGTAGTAGTAGCAGCAGCAGCAGTAGTAGTGGCAGCAGCAGTAGTAGTAATAGTAGTAGTAGGATTAATATCATCATCATCACATCATCAACAGTTCATCATCATCGTCATCATTATCATTATATAATAATAATAATCTATTATTATTATTAATATTATTATTATTATTATTATTATGCGGAATACTAACGGTTTATTACACGGCTCCTACTGTTGCCACCTGCTGACACTCTCAAGCTCGAGCCTGTTTGGAAATTATGAAAGTATAATTATTATAATTTTTGTTATTATTATTATTAGTAGTAGTAGTAGTAGAAGTAGTAGCAGTAGTAGTAGCAGCAGTAGAAGCAGTAGTAGTAGCAGCAGTAGAAGCAGTAGTAGTAGCAGTAGTAGTAGCAGCAGTAGAAGTAGTTGTGGTAGTAGTAGTAGTAGTAGCAGCAGTTATAGTAGTAGTAGTAGTAACAGTAGTAGTATTAGTAGTAGTATTAGTAGCAGCAGCAGTAGTTGTAGTAGTAGTAGAAGTAGCAGTAGTAGTAGTAGCAGCAGCAGTAGTAGTAGTAACAGCAGCAGTAGTAGTAGTAGTAGTAGTAGCAGTAGTAATAGCCAAATTTTATAAAGTAATTTTTCATGAAAGTTACTTCTGGCGGCTGTTTCGAATAAAATGTTAAAAAAAATAACAATGATAATAATTAATAAATAATAATAATGAAATAATTATATTATAGTATTAAACCCACACATATTTGCAACGGTCTTCAGCTACAGGCGGCGAAACATTAAGAACATGTACAAATAATTATTAATAATTATAATTATTATCGTTATAATAAAATAAATAATTCTCCTGGACAATCGGTCATATTATTGTTATTGTTTTGTTTACACAGCTTATAAAAAAAAAGTTTAATGGAATTACGTCACATCTAGTTTGGTTACCAAAAAGTCTGAATATCATCTCGAAAAAAATTATATAAAAATAAATGGAGGGCATGTTTAAATTTGGAAAAAATGAAAAAGAAGATAGTGAAAAGAGAGAGAGGGGAGAGAGAAAAAGATGGAAGAGAGAGAGAAAGAAAGAAAGAAAGAAAATATTTGAAAAAACTTCATCCACATATTTGATATATAATACTTCATCTACAACCTATACCATCATTACTAAAACTACCATTACTGTTACAACTGCTAACTAAATTTGTATTAGTCTGGTTAAAATTAGGCTGGTGATTATTTTTTTGGCTCATTACGTCAACTTTTAGTCGAATTTTGACTGAAAACTGAGTTTTACAAAATTTTAAGGAAGATATTGCTCACAACAGAAGACCATAGCCAGCCCCGGCCCTCTAGGTTCACTACTGCATGAATCTGGTAAAAACTAATAGCTTAATTCGCTATATCAGTGTTACATTCTAATAAAAAAATCTAGCTGAGTTTTCTGTTATAAACTATTTTAAAGAAATCAAACTATAGAAATACCTAATGGTAACAACTCGGTCGATCCAAGATACCATGTATCAAAAACGTGAGAGATACCATGTATCAAAATCGTGAGAGATACTATGTATCAAAAACGTGAAATTTTCCATCATCAAATAAAACATTTTCACGTCAAAGAGATCGAACACTACCACATAAATCTAATAAAAAAAACTACCAGTCCATGTATATATTAATATGTACCAGCCTAATTCACTGTTAGCGTCACATTGCAAAAATTGAACTATAGTGCGTGCCTAGTAAAACATAATGACAACTATTCTATCTAATCAGGATACAATGGATCTCCAGGATCTCCATCATCAAATGATACATTTTCAGAATCCGGAGACTGAATTCTACATGCATCAAGTAACTACGGCTAGCATAATTCACTATACCAAAATCCGATTCCTAAAAAATCGAACTATAGTAATACATAATTGTAAGTATGTTTGGTCGATTCAAGATATTATATACCAAAAGCGTCCAAATTCTTATTATAAAATGATACATTTTCATGCTTAGGAGATTGAGTGCTATATGAATCTGGTAAAGTTTTACCACCTTAACTCATCAGAGCCACATTACCATCAGAGCCGCATTCCAAAAAAATCGAAAATCGAACTATAGCACGTAATAACGACAGTTTCATAATAACCGTTTGGTCTATTCAAGATACTAACAAAAACGTTTGGATTTCCATTACTAAATACTACTATTACTACTACTACTACTGCTACTATTACTACAACTACTTTTACTACTACTACTACAACAACAACAACAACTACTATTACCACTACTACTACTACTGCTACAAGTTTCATGAAAACGTTAACTTTGGATTTTATTTCAAAATGAAAAAAAAAGATTTTATCAATAACTACAAAAAGACACGAATAAATTAATATGTAACTATAAATAGACATGAATAAAGTAACGTGTAGGCTATAAATAGGCACCAATAAATGAATTTATAAAAATAATATGTAAATTAATATGCAAATGAGTCATAAATATTCACTGGGTCCCTCTTCAGAAGGCAGTCTTACTATTTTTTAACGTTTGCGAATTGGTCCTTCTCCTTCCTCATCTGCCTTTCAATCTGGCTCCTCATGTTATCCTTCAACTGGAGTCCTTAATTTGCATAATTTATTCATAAATTTGCATAATACATTCAATAATTTGAACGAGTTATGGACTTATTAGCATAATTTATTCGGTAATTATCATTCACGAAATTGGCCTCTTTTTTTGCGTGTTCTGAAACAAGTAATATTAGATACGGCCAATGATGATCAGTGAATTAGGAAGATAAATTACTGTCAATTTCTCTTTTCAAACCTTCAAAAAAATTATGAATAAATTAATTGTGAATATTAATAATTTATGCTAATTTATTACGAAACCAGCAAATTAATAAAAGAAAAAAACAAGTTTACGTCCATCCATTCATGTATCATTCATACATTCGTTCGTTCGTTCGTTCGTTCATTCATTCGTTCATTCATTCATTCATTAATTAATTCATTCATTAATTCATCAAATCAGTCAGTCAGCCTGAGCTAGATACATACAGTAGATGCTTTCCAGCCTATCAGAAATCTCATACATCAAGATGGAGGCGGGGCGATGGTATACTGATGATGATGATGATGATAATGATGATGTTCATTATAATGTTGACGGTGATGATAATGATGGCGTTTTCGGCGATAAAAAAATTATCGGTGAAATATTCATTGGGGGATTAAGCTACAGCAAAAAGTATGCCATCATCATCATCATCACCACCATTACCATCATCATCATCACCACCACCACTACCATCATCATCATCATCACCACCATTACCATCATCATCATCACCACCACTACCATCATCATCACCACCACTACCATCATCATCATCATCACCACCATTACCATCATCATCATCACCACCACTACCATCATCATCACCACCACTACCATCATCATCATCACCACCACTACCATCATCATCATCATCAACACCACCTCCATCATCACCACCACTACCATCATCATCATCGTCATCATCATCACCATCGTCATCATCATCACCATCGTCACTCACATCTCGTCAGAGCGATGTATTCGTAAAGCTTGGCCAGCCAGCTCCGCATTCTGTCATCAACACTTTTTGGTGCGTTGACTGTGGCTGATGGTGGTGATGATGATCATTGTTATTATTATTATTATTACTATTATTATTTATTTATTTATTATTATTATTATTAATTCAGATTTTATTATGCTTTTAATTTTTTTAATTAACGGAATCTATAGTATAAACTCTAATAAATGTCCGCATTGTAATAGAATATTATTATTATTATTATTATTATTATTATTATTATTATCATTATTATTATTATTATTATTATTAGTTTCATCAGCAGACTTTTCTTGGCAGCGGCTTGACAGTGGTTTGACCTCAGCCTTTTGACCTCGGCTTTGAAAATAATAATAATAATAATAAATAATATTCAAACAGTTATAATAATAATAATATTAATAATAATAATACTACTAATAATAATAATAGTATCAATAATACTATAATTATTACTGTCAATAATAATAATAATTATTATTATTATACTATATTCACTATTTATAACATTATGACAGTTATAATAATAATAATAATAATAATAAAAATAATTACAGTCGAGTACAACTTTGTACTGGGCAAACTCCCTCTCATACTCCATCACGTCTAGTAAGATTTGAGGGTCCTCCTGATAGGGCTGGCCTTATGACGTCATCGTCGTGTTGTCATTATTATTATCATTATTATCCTTATTATTATTTATAATATATTATAATATATTATAATTTTTATAACTATCTTATCATCGCTGTGCTTATTTTATTTTAAATAAATAAACTATGATGATCATGATTTTATTTAAATTTTATTTCAATTTAATTTTATTTCAATTTAATTTTATTTTAATCATGACTATTTCTCTAATTAATTAAATAATTATTGACTTCACGCATTTGATGAAAAATAAAAGATTATTATTATTATTATTATTATATCATCATAATCATCACTGCTTTCTCACTGTCGAGGTTCTGATAACAGTCAGCTGATAGGGAGTTATATTTTCGAGTGTGTACAATTATAATTCGTTTAGCGAATCAAAAATTTTTTCATTCCTCCATTTATTTATTTATTTACTCGTTCGTCTATCAATCAATCTTTAGATTGAATCTTTTTTCATTCTTTTATTTCTTTCTCTCTATCTATCTGTCTGTCTGTCTGTTTATCTATCTATCTATCTATCCAGCTATGATCCATCTATTCATTCGCTACCTATCTAGTTATTTCTTCTGTCATGCATTCATTTATTCGTTCATTAATTCATTCCTTTTGTCATTCATTAATTCATTCATTAATTAATTAATTCATTCATTCATTGTAGGCAGTTGAGGTCGGTGCAAGAGGTGTTGCGATTTGTTCAGTGTACAGCTTTTTAAAGGATTTAGGCTTGGCGGAGAAAAGACTTTGGAGTTGTATGGCGAACGCAAGACATGCAGCCGAACAAGCGTCTTACTGGATATGTTTGGTTATGTAGAAAGAAAGAGGACTGCGAATTTAAATAGATAACAGTCAGGCTTATGTTCCCTATGAAGCTTCCGATCACTAAACACTCCCTTCCATTTTATCCTGTTTTCCATTTTCAAAACATTTTAAACACAAAAAAACACAAATTTTAAAGAAATACAGATTTACATCGGCATGGGCGTTCCCATTATCACCTCTGGTTTTGACATCGCTCTGAACTTATAGTCAGAGAAAGAAGTAGAAAGTTTCAGAAAGAAGGGCCAGAAAAGCAAATGCAGATTTAGCAAAAGAGTGTTTAACACGAGTCAACAAGCGAGAAAAAGAAGACGATCGTAAACCGGGGCGTTTAGGTTCAATTAATATACCTGATAAGTACTTAGGAAAGGATGGGAAGCGGGATGGAATGAGTTAAAAAATAGTGTTAGAGCAGAGAATAGAAACACAAATTTTTTTTTAAATTCAGATTTACAAACACGTCTTCACTTGTATAATTTGTTGTCTATTCCGAAACACTCGCTGAAGGCTCGTTATGTTCAAGTTTCCATATACATTTCTCTATTCGTTCATTCATCCATTTATCCATTCATTCGTTCATTCATTCATTCATTCATTCATTCATTCATTCATTCATTCATTCATTCGTTCGTTCATTCATTCATCCATTTATCCATTCATTCATTCGTTCGTTCGTTCATTCATTCATTCATTCATTCATTCATTCATTCATTCATTCATTCATTCGTTCATTCATTCATCCATTTATCCATTCATTCGTTCGTTCATTCATTCATTCATTCATTCATTCATTCATTCGTTCTTTCGTTCGTTCATTCGTTCAACCAACGCCTAATAAAGAGTGAGGCTTCTTGGTCCAAAACTTGAAATATGACGACTGGAACACCTCTGATGATTCCTGATGACGATAATAATAATAACAACAATAATAATTATAATTATAACAATAATAATAATAATTATTATTATTATTACTATAACCTCTGCATAGATCGAAGTACTGCCTGACGAATGACATATGCACGTTCGCTTTAGTTTCGTCGTCTGTTGATTTTTATTATTATCTATTTATTATTATTATTCATTATTATTATTATTCATCATTATTATTATTATTAGCAGCAGTAGTAGTAGTAGCAGTGATAGTTGTAGTAGTAGTTGTTAGTAGTAGTAGTAGTAGTAGTTTTTGTAGAAAAAGTTAGTAGTAGTAGTAGTAGTAGTAGTAAAGTAATAGTAGTAGTAGTTGCAATAGTAGTAGTAGCAGTAGTAGTAGTAGCAGTAGTAGTAGTAGTGGTAGTAGTTGTAGTAGTAGTAGTAGTTGTTGTTGTAGTAGTTGTAGTAGTAGTAGTTGTTGTTGTAGTAGTTGTAGTAGTAGTAGTAGCCTCAGCGGCAGCAGCAGTAATGGTTGTAGTAGTATCTATTATTCATGTTTTTACAAAGAACATACAATGCGATCTTCCCTTGTGAAGAGCTGAAAAAAATAATAATAATAACAACAAAAATAATAACAATAATAATAATAATAATAATAATAATAATAATAATAATAACAGCTTTGGTAGCTGAGATAATTCTTGGTTAGTAACTCGTGAACGGCGTCTCTTTTATGCATCTTTTCGTATTCATTCTTGACTGGGAAAATTAACATAAATTAACATAAATTCGCATAAATTATTCACTTTTCGTTTATTCATTCATTCATTCATTCATTCAATTAGACATATTTTTATATTTAACTTTTTGGGATTTTCCAACGGTTATCGACAATAACATCATCCATTCATTAAGTAATTAATTCATTATTAAATTCGTTTATGAATTAGATCAAATTTCATTCATTCATTCATCCATTCATTCATTCATCCATTCATTCATTCATTCATTCATTCATTCATTCATTCATTCATTCATTCATTCATTCATCCATTCATTCATTCATTCATTCATTCACTCATTCATTCATTCATTCATTCTAACATGGGAGGCCACGTGACTCCAATGCATACTTCATGATGTAGTGTGGGTACAGCTTATATTTTTCTGTCGGTAATGTTTTGATTGATTAGAACAATTATGAATGAATGGGTGAATGAATGAATTAATGAACAAATGAATTAATGAAACAAATGAATGAATAAATGAATGAACGAATGAATGAATGAATGAAATTACCATCGAACCAATCCAGGAAGGGCATAATTTTTTGCATCAGTTTTGTATACGGCATGAACTGCTTCCCTTCGAAAATTTAGTTTCATTCTTCCGTTCATTCGTTCACTCACTCACTCACTCACTCATTGATTTATTCATTCATTCATTCACTCATTCACTCATTCACTCACTCACTCACTCACTCATTCACTCACTCACTCACTCACTCACTCGCTCACTCGCTCACTCACTCACTCACTCACTCATTCTTTCATTCATTCATATATCCAACTCGCAAACATCATTATCAGTACTTTCGCTGTAAGCTTTCGTTAGGCTCTTAACTTTATCACGTGTGTTAATGATAGCTCCGTCATTAACCATATCTCTATCTACATGAATGAATGAATGAATGAATGAATGAATGAATGAATGAATGAATGAATGAATGAATGAATGAATGAATGAATGAATGAATGAATGAATGAATGAATGATGAAGGAATGAATGACAAATAAATGAATAATGACTGAATAAAAATAGGTTTGAAAGAATGAAAAAATGAAGTAGCAATAGTAGTAGCAGTAGTAGTAGTAGTTGTTGTTGTTGTATGGTAAAAGTAGTAGTAGTAGTAGTAGTAGTAGTAGTAGTAGTAGTAGTAGTAGTTGTTGTTGTTGTTGTTGTTGTAGTGCTAGTGGTAGTAGTAGCAGTAGTAGTAGTAGTAGTAGTAGTAGTAGTAGTAGTAATAATAGTAGTGTAGTAGTAGCCAACCTTTTAAAGTTTTATACTTTTGCAGTTCCTTGATGAGTATGGAAGGCAGTGTTTGCTGAAAGTCTTAAATTTGGTAAGAGATAAATTTATAATATGACGACGCCATATTATAAATTAGAACAATAATTATTATTGTTAATATTTTTTTTACAAACGAACGAACGAACGAACAGACAAACATACAAACAAATAGACAAACATACAAACAAATAGACAAACATACAAACAGACAAGTAAACCATACATACATACAGACACACAAACAGACAAACAAACACACAGACAAGTAAACCATACATACAAACAAACAGACAAACAAATAGACAGACAGACAGACCATCCATAAAGCGCTTGTAACTTTCCAAGAGGTGGCAGAAAACTGGCTCTTCGTAATTGCTCAACGCTTCGAATATTAATTATAATAATTATAAATAATTATGAATAATAATAATAATAACAAGTATAATTATTATTGTTGTTAATATAATTATTATTTACTTCCGCCCTCATATTTTATCTTGCTGAGTTCCATTGGCTCTCTGCCACTGTATCCAGCTTCATAAAAATATATCATAATTATTGTTATTATTATTGTTATTATTATTGTTAATATTATTATTATTAGTAGTAGTAGTAGTAGTAGTAGAAGTGGTAGTAGTAGTAGTAGTAGTGGTAGTAGTAGTAGTAGTAGTAGTGGTAGTGGTAGTGGTAGTAGTAGTAGTAGTAGTGGTAGTGGTAGTAGTAGTAGTAGAAGTGGTAGTAGTAGTAGTAGTGGTACCTTTGGTAAGGTACTTAACGTAATATTCCCCAATGGCCGTTTCAAAGGCCCTCTTGATTACGTGAAAACAATTGTCCTTGTCTGTGATAGGTCGGAGAAGAAGGAGTGAAAATGAATGAATGAGTGAATGAATTGATGAGTGAGTGGATGAGTGAGTAATGAGTGAGTGGGTGAGTGAATGAGTGAGTGAGTGAATGAGTGAATGAGTGAGTGAGCGAATGAGTGAAAGAATGAATGAATGACAGATGGATGGATGTATCATACCGCCAGGTTTTCCAGCTTCAGATAAAGATGTATTTTACTATTTCTCAACTTCGTTTTCATTCTTCATTCGTTCATTCATTTGGTCGTTCGGTCAGTCAATCATTCATCGATTTTTTTTATTCATTCATGCATACATGCATCCATGCATCCATTCATTTTTCCACTCGCTCAGCCAATCCAGCCCTACCCAAAGAATTAAGTTCTTGAGTTGGCAATTTTTGAATCCAGAACGCAACTTTAAATAATGATAAGTATAATAATAATAATTATTATTATTATTAATTATCTATAATTATTATAAATATAGATAATAATGATTATTCTTATTGTATTAATTATTATTATTATTATCATTATTATAATATAATTATATTTTAATGATAAGGAACGACGAAGATGTCACCTCTGGACCAAGGCACGCTTTCAACTGGAATGGAATTGGAAAAAAAATACCATCATCGCATAGTTTGTCAGTCAATCAAAATGAATGAATGAACGAACGAATGAATGATTAAGTGAATGAATGAATGAATAAATAAATAAATTATTGAATGAACGAACGAACGAATGAATGATGATAAAGATGATAATAACAATGTTAATAACTAATGATTTAAAAAACAAACTAGGGTTTCCTAAATCTGCAAAAATGAAAGACAAATTTAGGAAAGAAAGAAAAATGAATGTATGAATGAATGAACGAATGAACGAATGAATGAATGTGTTTTGAAACAGATAGTTGGATATATGGATAGAGATAGATTGGATGAATACTTCTTGATAGAACAGACGAGTGGATTAATAAATGGACGAAAAAGTTTAAAAATTAAGGATATCAAACCTCTTGACGATCTAGAAGCTAATTTTGATTAACAGAGAGAATTATAATATGCAGTGTGTTTGTGCGCGTGCGTGTGTGTGTTTTGTTGATACCTCTAAGAATATTTAATGATTTATAACTTTTTTATATAATTTATATACTTTTAAATATTTTATATAATTGTAATAATAATCAAAATCCATTTATTCTTTAAATCAAATCAAACGAAATAAAGTCAAGCAAGAAATGAAATAATCCGGACACCGTAGCAGATAAATTAATGTCTTGTATACAGGCTACCAGTCTCTAAAGTTACTTAGGAAAATAAATGTAGGTCAAATTTTAAAACAGAAAACGAAAACTTGATTGTTATTCAACTCTAAGTTTGTTATTACGTTAACAAATTAAAATTGTAAACTGGGTTTTTATTAACTAAATGTCTTTTATGAATTTATGGATTACTTTTTTTAATGTTGAAGATTCCACTTAGTTAAGATTTACTCTTTTGGAATGCCCATTATGTAACAAATTTATTGTTTGTTCATAATAAACGAGATAGTCCTTGTAAGTCTTGATTTCTGGAGGCGCCACATTTTCCCATATTTTCGGCCCGGTAAAGTTTAAACATGTTTGTATCAGTTTGATTCTTGCTGGGACTGTGTACAAAACAGGAGTGTGTCTCAAGTTTTTTGAATGAATTGAGGTGCTGTAAGTTGGAACATCTTTGTGAAAATTGAGTAACATGTGATTTAGAAACTTGTACACAAAGATCGCAGTCATGTACACATGAATGTTTTTGATGTTGGGCAAATTTATTTTGGAGTAGTGGTGGCTAACATGGCAACTTGAAGGGAAATTTACAAGTATGCGTACAAATCGATTTGGACACTTTGACAGCTGTTTAAGATTAGTTTCTGGGCGATTTCCCCAAAGGATGTTGCAACATGTTAAATGGGGATACAAGAGTGCACAGTAGAGATCTCATGTTGTTGATGTGGTGGTTTTCTGTCCGAGGTGTTTTGCTAGACAAAAACGAGTTTCTAACTGCCAGTATGAACGACTGGCGTCTGCTCAGTTTATCTGTCACATTCGCTAGCTGGTTATTTAATAGCATGCAAATTTCTCTGTTCATTTGTTCGAATTTGAAGTTTATTAAATCCTTGCTAAATCTGCTTTTGCTTTTTCTGTTTCTTTTCTCTGGAACTCTCTAACTCCATTTCTAACGACTTTCCATCACTTACGATGTTCAGAGCAGATCTCAAGACCCATCTCTTTGCAAAATTCATTGAGGAGCGCTGTAGAACATCGCGGAAATAGCGCTTTATAAGCTAATTGATTGATTGACTGATTGATTGATTGAAATTGTTACTTGCAGGTATTTTTGCCATACGTGGTTTTATCCAGAAGTCTGTTGATATTAAGTTGGTTTTAACAGTTAAAAACATTCTAAAATTCTCTTTTGTGTATTTCCATTTGACGAAAATTTCCTCATTTTCTCAATTTTCAGACTGTCTTAGTCGTTTTTCAACAGCTTCAAAGCAACGTTTACTTCTTCATAATCATGAAATATAAATCACAAAACTTTTATCCTCAAAATAATTAATAAAGTTATTTGAATAAATAAAGTTATTGTTATTTGTTGAAAGATTTCGTTAACAACAACACTCCAATGTTTTCAACATGGGGCGAATTAATAATAAATTATAACTATAATATTTATATAATTTTAATAATTATCTTTTAAACATAATATTTATATAATTGTTATAATTTATGAGTGCAATGTTTGTAATAAATAATTAGACAGAATTTTACGGTAATCTTACGAGAAAATGAACCTGAGAAAACCAATGTTTGCTCGGGGTTATTTATTAGTATATTAAACAGTTTACATGTTCATCATTCATTTATTCATTCCTTCACTCATAAATCCATCAACCCACTCATTAATTCGTTCTTTGGTTCGTACGTTCATTCATTCATCCTCTCAACCATCAATTCATCTTTCATTCACTCATTCATTCAATCATACATTCGTTCATTCTTTCATAAAAATAACGAACCACTGTCTCTGCTGTGACTGGATCGACTCCCTTGTTCATATTCGAAGAAGAAAATATTTTTACAACACCAACAAAATTATAGTTCGTAATAAATAAAATTATAATAATAATAAATTATAATAATAATAGATAAAATTATAAATCAATCAAACAATTAACTAGTCAATCAATCAGCCCACCAACAGACCAACAAACCAATCAGCCAACTAATCAACCAACCAACCAACCAACCAGCCAGCCACCAATCACTTTAATTAAATTAAAAACCTGAACTACTCCTTCCTAGCGGCAGTTTTTTTAAACAATTCATCACCTTTCATCTTTTATAATTACCATTATTGCCACCACCACTACTACTACTACTCAAAATAATAATAATAATAATAAACTACTATTACTACTACCCAAAAAATAATAATAACGTACTGTAAGACATGGCGGGAACGGATATATAGTCGAAAAAAATTTCGTCAAATTATTATTTCTAATATTCGCTCAATTATTAATTAAAATTAAATTAATTATCTAATTAATTATTTATTTATTCAAAATAAATACACACACACACACACACACATATATATATATATATATATATATATATATAAATATAAATAATTATTCATATGTGTGTGTGTATTGTTTACATACAGTAAACATGACGTCAATGGATGGTCCCCAAAAACACAGAATATTTTTTAACATAATATAATTTGATCTAACTACCAAAAACATCTATCAAAATGAATGATAATAATTTATGGTGATAATAATAATAATAATAATAATAATAATAATAATAATAATGGTGATGATGATAATTGCCATCTATTCAGTCAAAGAATTTATCAATTAACAAATTATTAACAATCGACCAATTATTCATTCAATTATTCATTCAATCAATCATTCATTCATTCATTCATTCAATCAATCAATCGATCGATCAATCAACGAACTAACTAGTCAATCAAATAGTCAAGCAACCAGTTAACCAATCACTAACCAGCAAACCAACCACTAACCAGCCAGCCCTAGCCAGCCTACCAATCAGACTCTCCTACCAGAAAACTTCAAATCATCCCTACCCTTACCAACCACCACGCGTTTAACCTTTTTTGACCTTTGAACCCTGCTACCCTCGCCCCCTTTATTATTATTATTTTTATTGTTGCTATTTTTAAATTTAACAGATTTAGACTGTTGACTTTTATTATTTTTATCGCTATTGTTATTTCTCTTGTCGATATTTTTATTATTTTCGGTGCCAAGTTTGAACTTTTTGTTATCTTTGTTCTTTCTTTCTTTGTCGTTGTTGTTGTTGTTGCTGCTGCTGCTTGTTGTCTTCCTTTTCCTGCTTACTTTACCCATCTTTTTATCACCCATATTAGCATCATCATCGTCGTCAGCGTCATCATCATCATCATCGCCATCATCATCATCATCATCATCGTCTCCACTATTAACCCGTCTCTTCATCCTCATAATCCTCTTACCAATCTCAACATCCTCTCTGACGACATCATCATCATCATCATCATCATCGCCATCATGATCTCTGACGTCATCGTCGTTGTCACCCATGACGTCATCGTCGCAATTGATGACGTCACCATCGTCGCCTACGACGAGAACTTGGCCGTCGTCAGTAACCACCACTAGGCCGTTGGTCACCGTTGAAACCTCTTCAGCCTGCTCTAATAATAGATCGGACGGGTTTTCCAGGCTGTCTATATTTAGGTCGTCGGATTTTCCAGGAAGTTTCACTTTGTCGTCCAGCTCCACTTCCGATCTGTCACCTGGTGGAGTGTGATGATGATGACGATGATGATGATAATAATAATAATAATAGAAAGAAGAAAAAGAAGAAGAAGGACTCAAATCATCCTCCTCATCATCATCCTCCTCCTCATCATATTAAAACAGAACCCAGATCACCATCATCAGCACCATCACCATCACCATTATCATCACCATCATCATCATCATTACTATCATTATTACTATCATCATCACCATCACCACCATCATCATCATTATCATCATCATCATCAGCGATCTTACCGTATGACACGTAGATAGGAACTGCGACCGACTGTTCTGACTTGATGCAAATTAATCTGACATTCTTCCATCCGCCTTAAAATTAATTAATTGAACAACTGATTAATTAATTAATTAATTAATACATAGTGATGATAATGATGTTAATGATGAGTGATGATAATGATGTTGATGATGAGTAATGATGATGATGATGCTTCTGAGGTCTTTTAAAAAAAGGTGCTATACAAATTTTCATACTGATACTGACGATGATGATGATGATGATGTTCAGGATGTTGGCGATGATGATGGTAATGATGATGATGGTAATGATGATGATGTTGGCGATGATGATGATAATGATGACGGTAATGATGATGATGATGATGGTGATATATACCAGGCGTCGATCGAACGAGAGCCGAGACCATCACATGGAGGTTGTCAACAAGTTCAAGGTCACTATTATGGAGGCCACCAAATAGTGCCTGGCTGATTGGTCGGTGGTCGGTTGAGTGAATGCATGAATGAATGAGTGATTGATTGATTGAATGAGTGAGTGAGTGGTTAGTTGATTGGTCGATTGATAAATTAGTCAACTCGTTTACAATCTGATTGATTGATTGATTTACATATTCACTTTTAATTGTTTTAACCACAACATCAACAACAACAACGACAACATCATCAACAACATCAAAAACAACAACAACATTATCATCAACAACAACAACATCAACAGCATCAACAACAACAACATCAACAACAACATCAATAGCACCAACATCAACATCATCAACAACATCAACAACATCATCAACAACAACCGCAAAAAAACAATCATTACCAGCAAGCTCCTCTATTCTTAACATCATATACAGAAGTCCTCAAGGATTTCTCAATCTCATTCTTTATATCAACCCTGGCCAATCTTACTTGCCGTGGAAACCTTTTGGTAAGTCATTTTATTAATTTATTAATTCATTAAATATTAATTAATCATAGTTTAATATAATTAATTTTATTATTGTTATTATGTTTTCAAAAAGTCATATATCATCTCTGGGTCATTCTACATAATAAACACTCATCCATCACCATCAGCTACCACAAGTTAATTATTGATTGATTAATTAATTGATTAATTAATCTACAAAATAAGAACTCATCAATCAACATCAGCTACCACAAGTTAATTATTGATTAATTAATTGATTAATTGATTAAATTATTAATCAATTAATTAATTGATTAATTAATTGATTGGTTGATAAATTGATTGATTAATTGATCGATTAATTAATTGATTAATTGGTCAATTAATTGATTGATTAACAGCAACCCAACCAACTTTTTCTTCCCGTAGAAATGCTTGCCCAGTATGGCGGGCATCAGTCTGATGATTCGAGAGTCACAGAGGAAGAGGTCGTAGAGGTTGGCCAGGCGGCGCTTGGCCTGGTAGTCGTTGAATTCTATCTTCAGCTTCTTCATCGGGAAGATCTAAAAATAGAAACGATAACATTAATAAAAATAATAATGATAATAATAATCGTCATCATCGCATTAACAGTTTAAGTCTTCAATTTTACCACGCTAGCCATCATCACTAACTATCAGTCTCTTCATTGTCATCATTATCATCATCCCCACCACCTACATCATAATCATCATCACAATTATCAACATCATCACCACCACCACCATCTATATCATCATCATCATCTACATCACCATCATCATCATCACATCCTAACATCAATCTTAGTTTGGATTCCTTGCTCTTTCAACAGATCTTTATAGGCAGCTATCGTCCTCTCGTAGTCTCGAGATTTCTTGTCAACGTCCTTCACAAAGAGGCATATATCGGTGGACTTCACATCAATCGGTGTGTGCGGCAGGAGGCTGGTTAGGGTGAAATTAGTCGATACACCAATGGTAGAATGATTAGTGAAAATAGTGGAGTAAGTGAATGATTAGTGAAAATATCGGTAGCGTGAATGGTCAGTGGAGTGAGTGAATGTATGGTGAAATAAATAAATGAATGAATGAATGACTATTTGTTGCCGGAACGACTTCTGGCAATGGCCAGCGTGATGTATGATCAACTGGAATGACAAGGTTAATTTTTTTTAAATGTGAAAGAAACAACCAAATCAGTGAAAGGAATCATGGTGAATGGATAAATGATAAATGAATGAAGGAATAATTGATGAATGAATGAATGAATGAATGACATGTAGACATGAAAGAATGTGCTAGAAAAAATTAGACAAACACTTTGTCCAAGTTTTTATGGAAAAATTGAAGAATGGGATCAAAGTGAATGAATGAACGAATGAATGTCCCAGAAAAAATTAGACATGGAAGAATGTTTTAGGAAAAAGTGGTCAAACATTTTGTTCAATTTTTGTGGTTCGTTGATGATCTTCTTGACTGCCAGCTGGACGGACAGCTTGTCACTGTTGAATAGCCTCTTGTTGTCGATCTTCTTACAACATTCTCTTAGTGCAACCACTGCTTTCTGAAGCTTTGTAGGGTAAATTGGTAAATAAATTATAAAATAATTATTTTATTTACCAGTTTAAAAATAAATTATATGATCACTATCAGCCAAATTGGTAAATAAATTATAAAATAACTATTTTATTTAGCATTTTAAATTAAAAATAAATTATATGATCACTTATCAACCAACCAACCAACCAACCAGCCAGCCAAACAACCGACAACAACTATCTTATCAACCAGCCATTCATTTTATTTTTAATTATGTATTTTTTAAAATTTTTTAATAAATTAATATTAACAAAAAACAAAAAAAAACAGTTGCTAAGAAAAAATTTTACTAACGCTTTCTTTAGATACTAATTCCGTCGCCATATTTTTTTATGTTTTTTTTATAAAATTAATAAAAATAAAATAAAATAAAATAAACGATGCACTAATTAGATTGAAAAAAGCGATCTAGTTTAACAAGAGCGATAAAATAGCATTCACGTGTATGAAAAAAACCCAAAGAAAATCCAATCAAATATACCAAAAAAATATTTTAATACCTATGCTTTATTTTTCAGTCTAATTTGCCTTATTTCAGTGAAGTATAATTATTTTACAATATAAAATAAAAAAATAAAGCAGTTATTTTATTTAAATTAATATATTAATTTAGTTTAAATTTTCAATTAAAATTTTTACATAGTAAACTTGCATTGTTTAGCTTGTTTGAGCCCAGTAATTCTCAAAAGATTTTGTTAATATACTACATTTTTATTGTGATTTTTACCAAAAAAAGCTTCAAATTAATTGGAAAAATGTCTGAAAAGTTGGTTATTTTAATAATTTATCGATTAAAGTTTTCATTTTTCACGATTTGAGTGTTTTTAATCCAGTTTTTGGTGTTAAATTTCTAAAAATTGTACATCAGCTGTTTCTCTTTTTCTTCATTCATTCTTCATCTTTGGTGTGAAATTAATAAATTAATTAAATTAAATTAATTAATTAATTAGTTAAGGTAAATATATTGAATAAAACGAGTAATTAAATTAGTTGATTAAATAGGTTAAAAGATAATTAATAGATAGATCAAATGGAAAATGTAGGTTGTTTCTATAATATAATTATAATTCTATATTGATTTAGTTAATTAAATTGAAAGTTAATTAAATAAATTTATTTTTTTTTTAATTTTAATAGTACCATTTTAAATTTTATTTATAATAATAACTAGATGATAAAATTATAATTAATATAGGAATGAGATGTCTCAAAATGTTGAGGAGAAATATGATGAAGCAGCTGATGATGATAATGCTAAATCAGGAGGGCAATCTAATTGGTGGAATAGTTGGCTTGAAACTGCCAAAGAGAAGGTTGTGTGTGTATGTTTGTGTGTGTGTTTGTGTTTGTTTACTGTTGGTTATCTCTCTCTTTCTTATCTCTATTTCTCTCTCTCTCTCTCTCTCTCTCTCTCTCCCTCTCTCTCTCTCTATCTATCTATCTATCTATCTATCTATCTATCTATCTATCTATCTATCTATCTATTTATCTCTTTTCATTGTGTTTTAACCATTATTGACTAGTACCACACATTTACTTTCTGTGTTTTAGCATTTTGACATTCCTTTGAAATCACTATTATTCTCACTCAAGATTAGAAGCATATGTAACTGTATGGGCAGTTTTTTTATTATTATTTAATATTTATAATGATTGTGGGCCAGTTTTTGCATTTTCTTGATCTTAACTCTGATATGCAGTCTGGCAACTGTGAAAGCATGAATTTGTGTGATTAGTTATTTGATTTTTGTGATTTGCCATGTTTGCCATTTTTTTTCCAATGTTTTACCCCTTCAGTTTTCAAAATCCTTTTTAGCTAATCGTTATTTAGTAATTGTAGGTGAGGTTTTGTTGATTAGTCATTATTTAATAATTGTAGTTGAGGTTTTGTATAATTTGAATTCAATAAAGTCTAATTGATTGATGAATTTAATTGAAATTTAATAATCTTTTTAAACTTTCAACTTTAAAAATTTCAGTCGGTCAGCATGCTGAATGCCATGAGACAGGACATTACAGAGTTCACCAGTGTCATGCAGTGCGACGGCTCTAGAATGGCTTGCACCATTAAGGACACATTTACTGTAGGTTCTTTCTCCTTTCTCTCTCTCCTCTCTCTCTCTCTCCTCTCCTCCTCTCTCTCTCTCTCTCCTTCTCTCTCTCTTCTCTCTATCTATCTTTCTTTCTCTTTTTTTCTCTATTTTAAATACACACTCACAAACAACATGAACATAAACACGAGTGCAGGCCGACAAAGCAAACGAAGCATCTGAGAAAATGAAGAAGGGGATGTCCACAATTTTGGGCGGCATTTCGAAGGCCCTGGTCATTCTACCGACCAATGACGATGATGATGAGTGCTACGAGACCATACAAATTGTTGATGGAAAGCCAGTCGTATTTGATAGGGCTAAGGTTTATTTTTGTTTTTTCTTTGTTGTTGTGTTGTTGTTGTTGTTGTTGTAGTAAATGGCTGGTTGTTGTTTTTTTTTAATTGTTTGACTGATTAATCTGATTGGATAATAAGTTGTTTTTTGTTGCCGGTTGATTGGCTAACAAATTACGTAACTTCGTGATTGGTCAGTTAATTTTAGAATCGATGGTGACTTTATTTATTAAATGATTATTTCTAGGCCAGACTGCAAGCCATTCAAATTGATGGCTCCACCTACACTACACCCATCAACCAATCAGAGGAGAGCTTCAAACAGTGGGCGGTCTCAAGTTATGAGCAGGACAAATTTGATTTGGAGAAATTCAAGATGGAGATTTCAGATTTGCTGGTCAATAATTCAGAAGTTCGGGCCATCTATACACAACTGGTAAGGGGTCAAATGTTTTTTTATTTTTCCTCTGTCATCACCAGGGTCATGGTAGTCATCATAGCCGGCAGCTCTTTCTCCGTTTGGAGTTTTATCATTCTCCTATTCATCAACTTTCGCATCATTCCATAGCCAGCATACCTCTGGGGAATATGAATGAGACCCACGTGACCTTTAATCTTTTTTGTCAAAATTTTTCAAGACAACGGTAGATGGTGAAAGCTTTCCCGAAACTTTTTTTTTTGAATGACGTCACGCCATTCCAGCCGATCCGGAAACCTTTTTCTATTATAATTATCATAATTATAATAATTATTATTATTATTGTTGTTAGGTGCCGAAGACAGTGGCTAATGTCGACTTCTGGTGCAGGTACTTCTACAGGAAGCACTTGTTGGATCGGGACGAGGAGAAGATCCGCATGCTGATGAGGAGGGCCGAGAGGGGGAATGAAGATCAGGGTGGAGATAGCGGTGATGACGAGCTCGATTGGGGAGAAGGTTATGATGATAATGGTGATGGTGACAATCCTGGTGATGGTGGTGGTAGTGATAATGAGGGTGGTGGTGGTGGTGGTGATCTCATTTGGGGTGATTATAATGATGATCTTTGTGCTTGGGTGGTAGTGACGGTGATGGTGGTGATAATGATGGCGATGCTAAAACTTATGATGATAATGATACAATGATAAATCAACACATTCCACAGAAGACGACACAGCAGCTACTACTACTACTACTACTACAATCTTTCCAAAAACATCATCATCATTATCCAATGCTTCTAATGCTACGCCTACTATATTGAACTATACTAATACTGTTACTACTACTACTGCTGCTACTACCGCTACGTCAGCCACCACAACGACAACTTCTACCACAACGGCTGCCGACGCTGTTGTATTTACTGCCCATAGTGCAGCTAGTATTAGTAGTACTGGCCACAGAAAAGCTGAAGAATTGTTTACTGATGGCAATGAAACAACGATAAAAACAGTGGCTGCTACTGCAGCGGCAGCAGCTACTGCAGCGGCTACTACAGCGGCTACTACAGCGGCTGCAGGTATTTTAGAGATAATACCAATTATTATTATTATTATTATTATTATTATTATTATATTACTACTACTACTTCCATCAGTACTTTAAATTTTACTAATTTTGTTACACTTACTTACTATCATGCTATACTACTACTACTACTACTATTATTACTACTACTACTATTACTGCTACTATTACTGCTAGTACTACTATTACTGCTACTACTACTATTACTACTACTACTATTACAACTGCTACTATTACTACCACTACTAATACTTTTACTGCTTCAGCTGCTGCTGCCACTACAACTACTACTACTACTACTAATAATAATGATAATAATGATAATAATGATAATAATAATAATAATAATAATATACTAATTCTACTTTAGAATTCCAAAGTGGCATTAACCAGTTTGACGAGCCGGCCGCACCATCGTCGTCGTCATCATCATCATCACAGGCTTATGAAAATAAAGGCTTGCTTTTTTTGTCGTCTGCTTAGTTGCTGAATTTTTTTAATTTATTTCTTTTTTTCATTCCTTTCGTATGGTTTCGTTCATTTATTCATTCATTCAATCAAATTTTTGTCTGTTTATCAGTCGTTTGTTAGTTCATTCATTCATTTATTCATTCATCCATTTTATCATTCAACCATTCATTCATTCATCCATTCATTCATTCATTCTTCCTTTCATACATTCATTAATTTATTTATTCATTCATTCATGCTTTCTTCTTTTCATTCACTAATTCATCCATTCATTCATTCATTCAGTCATTCATTTATTCAATCATTCATTTATATTTTTTTTCCTTCAATTTACCTGTCACTGATACTATCGTTTATTTCATTCATCCACTATGCTACTTCATCATTCATTCAATCCAATCTTCTATTCATTCGTTCAATCTTAAATTCATTCATTCAATCTTACATTCATTCATTCAGATAGCTCAGATGATTGGGAAAAAGACTTTGAAAAAGAATTGCGAGAAATATCTGATGTCGATTTACCAATAGCTACTGCTGCTGCTACTACCGCTACTACTACTACTACTACTACTGACGGTGCTAACAAAAATACTGAAAATGTTTGTAGTCTTATTTCGTTGATTTCATTTTGTTGATTGCTTCTTTCAGATTTATTAATTCAGTTCATTAGTTCATCCGTTTGTTCATTCATTCGTTAGTTCGTTCCTTTGTTCGTTCGTTCGTTAATTCATTAATTCCGTTTTCGTCATCCGTCGATCCATTCATCATAATTTCATTCCAAATTAAAATGAACTCATTTTAATAATTATTCACACATATACACACAAACATACATACATACATGGATTTTTTACCTGTTTGCATCGAGGTTCTTGGCCCGACGGACAACAACACTTGCTAATTTTTAAAAATATTTGCAAAATGATAAGTGTCAGCAGGGGATGTGGTTTGGCCGCAAAAAGGGCATCGGATGAAAAGATTAAAAAATATGAAGGTGCCCTGCCCTCGATGGATTTTTTACCTGTTTGCATCGAGGTTCTTGGCCCGATGGACAACAACACTTGCTAATTTTTAGAAAATATTTGCAAAATGATAAGTGTCAGGTCCGGCATTTTTCGCCATGAATCGTATCTCTTGTTTGCTGCAAAGGTTCTTGCGCGTCTGTGTTACCGAAAATGTTCAATTAAGCGCCGACGTGAGCGAATAACGAGATATCAATTGTTAACCGGTTTTATTCAGATGTTTGACTGTTCAGTGATCACTCATCACTGATTTGGTTTTAACATATGTACGTACGTGCTAAGATCCTGGTTGGTGCAAAAAAAGTTTGACCATGTTACCCCGATATTCAGTTAACTGCACCGGTTGATGGTCAAAAAAGAATTTAGTTCAAAATATCAACAATCATGTTCAAATGTATGAAGGGAATGGCGCCAGTTTACTTGAAAGAAATGCATGCAGCGAAACAACTGTCTTTTAAAACTGTCTGCTTAAGGTCTGATGATAGCAACTTGTTATGTGTGCCCCAAACCAACTTGAAAATGGCGGAGAGAAGTTTCTCCGTATGTGGACCAGCCGTTTGGAATAGTCTACCAAGTTATCTAAGACAGCCCGAACTGACGGAAAAATAGTTCAAGAAATTATTGAAATCATTTTTGTTTTCATTAAAAATTTGGTTCATCGTAGCAATTCAACTGTTTTTCTTAGATAATGTTTTTGAGAAACATTTTGTTTGTTATTAGCGCTATAAAAATTTACAAATAATAATAATACATACATACGTACATCTACATGCATACATACATACACACACAAACACACGCACACACACACACAGACTGATTGGGAAGAATGGTGATGAAGGTTGGATGAAGGAGATGCCGAAACTGAACCAAGATTCAAGAATACGATAACCATCTCGATTGAAGAAATCCATTTAAAAATATTTTAAAAATAAACTTTCATTTTAAACCTTTTCACCGTTTCATTTGTATATCGTTCAATTGTTGGTTCAAGTTTAACATTAATTATGTGTGTGTGTGTCTGTGTGCGTCTATGTGTGTGTGTGTGTGTCTGATTGAGTTCAGATGAACTATATATGACATCATCACAAAGTCTATTACACTGATGATGGTAAAGGTTACTGAAAATATCTTTTATGTTAATGTATACAAGAAGGTGCAGTCTAAAATAATTAGAAATGTTATTAATTTGAATTAAATTGAATAATATCGATAAAATAATTGTTCGAAATGTTGAAAAGCTTTGTTACTAACTCAGCAATGTGAGAAATGCGGTGATATTTCTTAATAACTCTATATATATATATAAGTGTGTGTGTACATATAATTATATATAATCCTATAGCTTCAGATGCGATGTTATTTCATGTAAATAATACAATTATTTTTTATAAACATGGTTGTTTTGTGGTATGGTTGTTTTTACGGTGATTTGAATATTCGATTATTCATTCATCCATTTAATTAATTATTCATTCATCCATTTAATTATTCATTTATTTATATTCTCTCATTTATGACCAGTTCATATTCCTGATTTGGAACAATGGAATTTCGTCGGCTTAGAGAACCAACGTTCTCTTCAAAGTTTAGTTTCCAAGATATTTTTATGTTAATTCCATACCATCCTAAATTATTGTACACTACACATATATAGATATACCAAATATATACACTATGTATGTTATACATTACATACATATACATACACTAAATTTACTATTTTAAATACTACTACAGCCTGTTTTGGTGTTAAATACAAGCTTACCAGCAGACTCAATTGTTCAAATTTTCACTCAACCCGCTATTTATGAACCATTTCATCATCTCAAAATGATTAGCTCCATGTTTTTAGCACTAACAAATATTTTAATTAATGCTCATTCATATATTAAATCAACAATGTCTAAAATTTTTGAGTGATGTTGTCAAGCGACCAGAAATCATTTTGTTCCCAATGGATGAATTCGCCAACAATTATTTGTATTATTAATATTTTGAACAATAAAAAGAACACAAATGAGGTTCTTCCTTAAAAATTAGTTGAGAGAATGAAATGTACAATGGCGACAGTTCTTTCTGTGACGAGCGAATGAGTGAACAACATGTCGATTCTTGAGATATCTTAAAACAGTATATAAAACTTAATCATGTTCAATCATTCGAAAACAACGTAGATCAGTTCAGCAGGTCTTAATACAAATAATCAATATCTCTTCTGGTAACCACCACCCCCAGATGGGCCACCCCTGCTGCCGCCCCCTCCTCTGTTGGATCCACTGAATGACCGACCCCGGCCTCTTGCAGCTGAGTTGAAAAATAAATAGTTTTTAGTTTATTTAATCTATTTAAGATTTAAAATTTCTCAAAATTTTACCCTGAGCTCTTAAAATGGCCGACTTTCCCCTTCCAGCGCCGCCTCCCTTGCCTTGAACTTTTTTGAACATGGGAGCATTTTTCAACATGTCCGGCAGAATTAGGAACCGCACTTTACTGCCGCGGATGTAGACATTCTCCAATTCCATGGTTCGACCATCCCTGTACGTGACCGTCACGCCGGCAAATTGGCAATTCATGTTGTCCTCGGCTTCAACTAATTTTCCTCGGTAGATTTCGCCGGTATTAGTTTCGCAGGTGACCACGTGACCCTCTGCCTCGTGCAGAACTTTGATGGGAACGCCGATAGACATTTTCACCTAATTAAAACTTCTCAATAATTTATTGTCACTAAGAAAAGTAAAAAATGTTTATTTCAGGTAACCGAAACGACTATAAACACATAGAAAAGAAACCACAATCGTATCGGTTACGAATAAAAGCCGATTCCGGTCGAACTAAAAGCAGCACGTTGTTAATTTTTTTTTGAGTTTGTTTTTGTCTATTTTGTGTATATTTATGTCTCTATATGTGAGCATATAAATAAATTCATTTATGTACAATCTATCGACCACAGTTTAACACAAAATTACATTTCGTATATTGACTGAAGGAACTATATATAGTAATTTTTCAGGTTGATTAATCATATTTTTATACGAAAAACTTATCAAAACAAAAGTATTTAGAAGGTTTTCAAACCAATAATATTTTTAATAGATAAATTAGTTAAATTATATTCTACAAAACTTACTTATACCAATTAGTTCATTCATTCTCACATCTACATATGTTATATGGCAACTGAAGACGGTTTTTACTTTCTGGAATTTCAACCAACCAACAGCCAAGTCAGCCTTAATCGTCATTATTCTTTCTCACTTTGCTTGGCAGATTTCGGAGCCTCTCCCGAAGCAGTAGTACCAGCAGCGACCGACTCACTAGCCACATTTTTTTCATCGTCCAGGGCTTCTGGCGCAAAATTCTCGTTCAACGTAGTCTCTGTTGTTCCATCCACTGCTTGCTCCCCTTCAACCTCCTCTGCACTATCAGGGCCCTCATCATCTTCCTCTCCTCTCTCTTCTTCAACATCTCTCTTCCTAGCCCCAACCATTCTCTCCAGAAAAGTTGGGCAAGAGCACGGGCAGAGGCAATCGCATCTTTTCGGTTTTTCCTCACTCCCTTCTTCTCCTTTTCCTCCTTTTTATTGTTTTATTATTATTATTATTATTATAGTTATTATTATTATTTATAATTATTATCATAATTTATTATTATATAATACTCTTCAGTTGTTTACTACATCACCCATCCATCCATTCAAAGCGTGTTTTTATGGAGTTTATTATTATTATCGTCGTCGTTGTTGTTGTTATTATTATTATTATATTATAATTATTATAGTTATAATTATTATTATTATTACATACAAACATACATGCATACATACAAACATACAAATGTATTAATGCATAGAAAGAACCATACCAACAAATAACCAAAGACAAACATATTAATACTTTAACATATAAACTTATACACACACACACACACACATACATACACACACACCAGTAAACAACCTAGCACATCACTACCATCTGATATTCCTCAAATCCCTAATTACTTGACGGAAAACTCCCCAACTAACTTAGGAAAATCCCGGATAGTACGAAGTATAAAATCCTTAAGAAGACAAACATGAGGGCGAACATAATAAGAGCCGCTACGTAATAACGGGAGTCGAAGAGTTGCTCTGGCGGAACTAAAGTCGGGTAGTCTGTTTTGGAAAGTTAGGGTAATTAGGAAAATAGGGATGTGCTTGAGGGCGGCCCATGATAATGATGGTGTGATGATGATAATGATGATGGTGATGATGATGAATGAAAGATTGATTAATAAAGAAATGAGCACGCGTGTTATAAAGCTTGATGACGATGATGACGAACAAGAATGATAATGATTATGACGATGACTTGATGACTTGATGATGATGATGGTGGTGATGATGATGTGATGATGATTATGATGAAGAAGATGATGATAATGATGACCACTTCTTAATACCATTGCTAGCTCCAGAAGCCTGATCTAAATGTTCGTAATTTGTTTCAACGAGTCAATTTATCGAAATATAAACGAATGAGTGGAGGAATGAATGAATGAATGAATGAATGAATGGATGAATGAATGGATGAATGAATGAATGAATGGATGTATGGATGGATGAATGAGTGAATGAATGAATGAATGAATGAATGAATGAATGAATGAATGAATGAATGAATGAATGAATGAATGAATGAATGAATGAATGAATGAATGAATGAATGAATGAATGAATGAATGAATAACTAAAAGAACGAATTAACGACCAAATGAGCAAATGAACGTATAAACGAATGAATGACAAATAAATCATAGATTTAATTAATTAATTAATTAATTGATTAGTTAATTAATTAAAGAGTGAAACAAATATTTAGTGACGATTAATTAGCTAAATGACAGATAACGAATGAACCCCGAGGCATTTACAAATGGTCGGCAAGAAGTTTCAACTCTCAATACAAATAATTTCATGCGAATTCCTCAATTTTGGTGAATGTTCGAAGATGATGGAATTCATCATTTTCATCATTTTGGGAATCGTATTTCCTCTTTATTTCATTTAATTAATTTTAATTTAATTTAATTTTCAACTTTTATACAAATAATCTCATGCAAAAAACCGATCTTCAGTTTTGGCGAATGTTTGAAGATGATGAAATCCATCATTTGGGAATTGTACTTACTCTTTATTCCCTTAAATTACGTAAACTTTTCTGGCCATCAATAAAATAAAGACCATTCGCTTTGTAATTAACTTTTTAACATTACAAATCATAAATTATAAACTAAAAATTGATTCGGGGTGGTCTGCTTCTAACTTTCAAAGGTGGGAGGGGGAGAGGGGGGGTTGTTGATGCCCCTGAATTAACGAACGAATGGTTAAGGTTAGGGTTGACGAGCGTTTAAATAAATGAATACACGAATGAAGGAATGAATAGATAGAGAGATAAACTTATTCACACATCTTCCTCTTGATCGAATTCTTAGATAGGCCTGCAAAACGATTGGTTCGACTGTTATAGCTAGGCGTTAAAATTATAAACGCAGACACCACACACAGGCATTCATTCATTCATTCATTCGTTCGTTCGTTCGTTCGTTCAGACACCAGACACGCAGACACCACACACAGGCATTCATTCATTCGTTCGTTCGTTCGTTCGTTCGTTCGTTCGTTCATTCATTCATTCATTCATTCGTTCGTACTTTTAGCAATGCAGGTTAGCTTGCTGGCCGACCACTTGTTTCCAGTCTTGCATGTTATCTTAGCTTCTGATTCGCCATTGAAAAATACGTGGTCTGTATGTACGTACGTACGTACGTACGTACGTACGTACGTACGTACGTACGTACGTACGTACGTATGTATGTATGTATGTATGTATGTATGTATGTATGTATGTATGTATGTATGTATGTATGTATGTATGTATGTATGTATGTATGTATGTATGTATGTATGTATGTGTTAAAACCAAATCATTGACGAATGACACCAAAAGCCAAGCGTCTGACTAAATTTGATTTTATTTGCTATAACGTCACTCAACCCCGTCGGCATTCAACTCCACATTTTCCAACACACAGACGCGCAAAAACCGCTGCAGAATGCACGAGATATTATTCAGACGCGCAAATGTATGTATGTATGTATGTATGTATGTATGTATGTATGTATGTATGTATGTATGTATGTATGTTTTTGTATGTACGTGTGGAGGTATGTTCGTTCATTCGTTTGTTGCAATTAAGAGAATCACAAAGAAAAAAAAAGAACTTGGCTGGCATTCGACCAATAGCAACTCATCTCTGACGTCATCAGCAATCCTTATGATGTCAGCATTCACTAGCGTTAAGGTACTGGCATCGCAAGCCGATACTGTTAACATTTAATTATGACGAGAATAATTTATTAATATTATAATATAATAAAATGTAGAAAAGAAAATTTTCCCACAAACTATATTAAATACTTCAAATATCGATTTAAATACATGTGAAACAACAACAACATAATAATAACAATAATAATAACAAAAATAAAGTAATTTCTAACTGGGGAGGCAATAAGCATTTGAAGCCAGTTTGATTACCACTACTACCACTACTGCAACTACTGCAAGAGCTTTACCGCCATCGACGTCATTCCAACTTGAAGCAGCTTCAACAGCAACAGTGACGATGGTAATGATGATGATGATGACGATGGTTAAGTTATTGGGGTTGGTGTTGGTGGAGACTTTATTGCAAAGTTGGGCCATGATGAGCATCAAATGACTTGACGAATGAAGGAACGAAAGAATGAACGAATGAACGAACGAATCAATCAAGCAACGAACGAACGAACGAACGAACGAACGAACGAATGAACAAACGAATGAACGAACCAATGAACGAACCAATGAACGAACTGATCCAAACAGAATCAGGTATTATTTTTATTTCTTAACTTCATCTAATAGTGTTTACATAGATACAAAGTATTTCGCGTTTGTTTACATTAATTTTGTTAGTAGTAATTAGAGCCCCAAGCGGATAACCGTGATGCGGCTTCAAACCTATGGTGTAGCCTCAAATTATTTTGAATGAATTCTCTTAGAACATAGTATTTTTATAATAATAATAATAATAACAAAAATAAAGTAATTTCTAACTATTTTACTATATACTAGTTATACTTTTATTAACAATTTATAAAAAAATTTCAATTTCATTTAATTGCGATATCAATGATGATGATTGTGACCTGACTTATCAAAAAACATCAAATAAAACTTATATAATAGGACGGGCAATGACGTCATGTTAACAGTGGTTATTTAACTGCCTGTTAGTGAATTAGCCGGTATAAAGGTTATATTCAATTCCTATCAAATAAATTAGACCAAATATCATGCGCAGGCAAAACTAAATAAAGAAATAGATAGATAGATATATGTAGTTATAATACATTTTAATAGCAAAGCGTATTTGGCTCAGCTTGGCTTGACTCGCATTTGGCTCAGCTTGGCTTGGCTCAGCTTGGAATTGGATGTTAAGCAAGCAAGGTGTGGTCTCAAACTATTTTGAGTTCTCCCCGACGAATTTGAACTGCGTGCGAAATGCTATATTTACACATTCAAATTGTACAATTGTGTTATGGTGTAAACTTTTTACTATGTACTAGTTACTTTTAATAACAGTTTTTTAAAAAACTCAATTTGATTTCATCGCCATATCGATGATGATGATTGTGACCTGAAAATAGGATGGAGAATTTGTTAAGAGATTTGAGTTATTAAACCTTAACTAAACCCTAACCCTACAATTACCATCCAGGTAAATCTTAATGCCACACCTTGCCCCAATACCATTCAGGAAAGGTGTGGTCTCAAACTATTTTGAATTCTCCCCGACAAATTTGAACTGCGTGCGATATGTTATATTTGCACATTCAAATTGTACAATTGTGTTGTGGTGTAGTCTCAATTTATTTTGAATTCTCTCAGAAAAATTTAAACTAGTTTTTTTTTATCAACAATTTAAAAAAAATTCAATTTTATTTTATCGCCATATCGATGATGATGATTGTGACCTGACTATGGTTAAAAAGCATCTAAGAAAATTTTTAAAATAGGATGAAGAATTTGTTACGGAATCGTTGGAGGAAATGACGTCATGCTAGCGGTATTTTATACTTAGTGAAATGTATCCCTTCAACATCCACACCAAGAGAACAAGCCTTTTCAAAATCTGGAAAACTGATGAGCATAAAAAGAAATAGATTGCGAGATAGTTCCATTAAAGGGTGTGCGTGTTTAAATTAATTGGATGGAATTACTTGGCGAATAAAACTTGTGTGTATGTTCTATTTTAATTAAATTTTGAAGAAAATATTTTTAAACTCGCTCGCGTTATTTCTTTGATATTGGGCATATTCGTATATAAAGCGAGCAAAATTTTATTATAAAAGCGCTTATAAATCTACGCATATTGACTCAGCTTGGATAGTTTCGGCTTGGAATTTTATCGGCTAGGCTCAGTTAAATAGTCTCTCTCTCTCTCTCTCTCTCTCTCTCTCTATATATATATATATATATATATATAAATTATATAAACATTTAAATAATACAACTGATGTTAAGCAAGGTGTGGTCTCAAATTATTTTGAATTCTCTCCGAAATATTTGAACTGCGTGCGTATATATATGTAGCACTGATTACTTTTATAATGAATATAAGTAACTGGAATCCGTGTATACAAATTTAAGATTATATGTTTATATTAAAAGCAATATAGCAGATCCAACCAGCCAATCAAAAAGTTTCGAAGGCGTTCGTTCGATGACGTCAATTTAGTATGGTTAGGACTTAAGACTGTTGTTAAGACTGTATAATAGTGTAGTACATACATTAAATAAGTTTTTTACTGATGCGAATGATTGAAATGATGAGAATGTATGGTTGAAACGAGTATAAATAGAGGAGCTGAGACAGCAGAAAATCAGATCAGGCATTCTGCCTCGCTTGAAGCAGTCTGTCTGATCTCATTTATTTTATTTTTATAATTTTTTTATTTTTATTTATTTTATTATATAGAGTTATATAGAGTTAGATAGAGTTATATAAAGTTTGCGTGTTTGTAGGTGGTTTGAATGTTTGTAGGTGGTATTTTTTTATTTTAGGTGGGTTCTTTAGCGGTTGCTCATACATACATACATACATCATGTTTGTTTGTGTGGTAGTATTTTATGTTCTGTTATACTCCTTTTTCTCCTTCTTCATGAGTCTTGAGTTAAGTTAACGAAACATAGGTAGGTGAGATTGAGAATTAATTTATTATAT